ACACAGAAAGAACTCAAGTTCGGTAATGGCTGACTTATTAAACAAGAAGCGTAAAGACTTCACGCGCTCTGAAGTTGTATTTTTGTTACGGTCGAGTAGAGGAGGAGTAGATGACAGTGGCGGAACGTTGGTTGCGTTGTGTCTCAAAGGAAATATTCAAATCAAACGCTTAGCGTGTTTTCAAAAAGTTAAATAACACGGTGATATAATAAAATATACGTTTTGCTGTAGTTATGGGGTTTTAAATATATTTTTTGGAATTTTTTCAATTATCGGACGTATGCCGCGGAAAATATTAGTCTCCTTTCTAATAGGTATTTGATGAAATGATGTGAATTTGACTGCGTGATGACTTCATAGTAACAAAATTGAGATATTTTGATTTAATCTCACTCGTGGCCACTCGTGGTCACTCTAAGTACTTTTAGACCCTATCCTCTCAGCATTGGCGAGTTTCAAATCTTAAATGACGAGCTTAAAAGACCTATAGGTGAGTTTAGTAAAGCGATGGTTGAGTTTTTTTTGAGAAGCTTCAGTTCTCGCTAGCGAGTTTTCAATTTCTCGCTAGCGAGTTTTCAATTTCTCGCTAGCGAGTTTCCGATTTCTCGCTTGCGATTTTTTTATTTCTCACTAGCGTGTTTTCAATTTCTCGCTAGCGAGTTTTTAACTCCTCGTTAGCGGGTTTTTGATTTCTCGCTAGGGAGGTTTTTGATTTCTCGCTAGCGAGTATTTGAATTCTCGCTAGCCGAGTTGTTAACTTCTCGCTCGCGAACTGGGAGTGCATACAACTACAGGGCAGATCGAGGATTTAATCATGGGGGGTTCGCAGAATTGCCCTAGGCACGCTCCCACGGAAGATTTTGAAAATTAGGCCTTCGGAAACATGATTTCCGGCATTTTAAAGGAATAATTTAAGGGGTTGGACCGAACCACCCCAGCAGCTGTGTGACATTTTCCCGCCTTTTTCCCCCGAACCATCGAGGTGTCAGCCGGCAGCTGTCAGGTTTTCGCTCGAAGCGAAAGTGAAGCAACATTCTGTAAGCTTAAAATTATGGATCCTGTCGTAAGACAAATCCTTGATAACATCGGTAGATTGTGGCAGTGTTTTAAGAGTATCTAAAGCAGGCTAGCTACTGTTTTTGCCCATTTACTGACAGTTGCTGTTGCCATAGAGGTTAAGAAGTAACATAAAAAAAAAAGTTCTCATATTGTACAATACTTGGTGATGGCTAGCGAAGATGTTTACTTCTTGTGCCTTGGGTTGGGAAGAATTCTGACCTCCTGATCATTATCATTGTAAGTTATTGTTATTAGTTGTTGTTATTATTAGTTGTTGTTATTGTTATTAGTTGTTTTTATTAGAAGAAGAACCTTTATTAATTTATACCGCTCAGGGTAGCCCCTTTTGTTGATGTCATTGTGCTTGAAAAATGACATTAGTTTTATGACAAAACATTCATGCTTACTGAATGGTATCAGGCAAATGCTAGCAAGGGTTTTTAATCTTAAAGCCTTTTTTGGGAAGAATTCAAATTTCCTGCAGATTATTATTGTTATTGTTGTTAAAAAATAACATTTAAGAGGAACCATTTCTTATGTTGCTTGAATATGTTATGAAGCTTCCCCTGTTGGTACCACGATTTGAAATAAAAAAACCTTGCAACATCCAAATTCTCCACTCTACAATCACCCCTTACTCTGCTTGGAAGCAGCCATATTTACTTACTCCCTGTTGAAAATATTGTGGGGCAGTGGTTGCAAGGTTATTGGTGGCACAGTTCAGATGGGTTATTGTTCTACTGTTACCATCAATGCATCCATGTATAACAAATCGCCATGAGATCAGCTTGTGATTGCTATCAATATGCCACAGGTAGTTTGGTGCACGCACATTGTACACTCGCCTCCGAATTACACTGCTCCTACGAGCTGCCCTACCCACAGGGTCTATGGCTTGAAGCCTTTCTCTTATTCTCCAACGCTGAATTCGTACGCCTCTCAAACTGTCTTCCACGTATGTAACTCTCTCCAGCACAGGGAGTTACTGTCATAATCGACTTGAGAAGTTCATCTAGTTCCGTGTTCGAAATCTCTGAAAAACTTCCATCCATATCAAATTCCTGAACTCGTCTGTACAGAGTTCTTTCACTGACATTCAAACATGCACAGGTAGCAATTTTTGCCCAGGTCATCCCAGTCTCGCGGAGATTCACGAGCTGTTCTCTAGTTATTACAAACTTGGGTCGGCCTTCTGTTCTCTTAAGAGGTAAATCATAA